ATTTTGTGATGATATCTTCAATTCTCTAATTTTGGTGAATATTTTTGTAATTTTTGGTAAAAAGTGATATTTTCAACTTCTTGTTAAAAACTGTAAGTCCGATTGCTTTGATACTATACATATTGTTCATTTTCTAATGATGTCTTCAGTTCTTTAATTGAAATGTGCATTGCTAACAGCGGAGCTATCTCAGCCGATAGGCTGCTTGTTTATGCACTTCTATCTGCTTTTATATTAAATGTATTATTTTTTTGTATTTTTCTCAATAGTATTTTTTTATTTCTTTTGATAGCTTGGCATCCATTTGGTTCAGCTCGAGTGAAATTTTCGGCATATCCCTGGTCAGATTTTAATGACATTGAAAACACAAGTACTCTGGCTTTTTGCACATTCTTAATATTTTATTTTTGCAGAATCCTGTGAATATTAATTTGACAACTTTGTAGAGTGGAAACAGACTGGTGAATTAGTTCATCCTAGACTTTGGTAGAACGTGTTTAAAATAGTACAGTGTGAAATGCAATTTCTTTCTGGCTGGTATAAATTTATTAAGTAATATTTTTTCGTACTAAAAAGACTCAAATATCTTTTTTAATTAAATCTAACAGCCAATAGGAGCACATATGCTACAACCTCTGCTTACTTTGGAACTAAATGTTCTTTTTTCTTTTTTTCAGGTGCAGAGCAAGAATTTGTTTCTCAGAAACCAGAGCCACTGGAACTGCATGTATTACAAAAACATACCGGTACTATTCGCTGCATGTCTGACAATTATATAAAGTTTCTCAGGTCCTCTTTTTAGCTCCGCTGTCGACTTTGTCGAGCGGAGCTTATCATATGAGTGATTGTACATCGGTGTCCGTCGTTCGTGTCAATGTTTTACTTTATTGACTTCTTCTTGAAAACTACAAGCCTGAATGCTATGATTCTTGGTGTGTATGTACCTGGGGTAGACCTCTCTTAGATTTGTTCATTTCATGATGATATCTTCAATTCTCTAATTTTGGTGAATATTTTTGTAATTTTTGGTAAAAAGTGATATTTTTGACTTCTTGTTAAAAACCAAAAGTCCAATTGCTTTGATATTACATATATAGATACTACATGTGAACCTTTCTCAGATTTGTTCATTTCGTGATGATATCTTAAATTCTCTTATTTTGGTGAATATTTTGGTCATTTTTGGTAAAAAGTGATATTTTTGACTTCTTGTTGAAAACAGCAAGTCTGATTGCTATACATACTATACATATTGTTCATTTTCTAATGATATCTTCTGTTCTTTAATTGAAATGTGCATTGCTTACAGCGGAGCTATCTCAGCCGACTGGCTGCTTGTTTTTACTTTGAGAAGTTTTGTCAACCAAAGCATAAATACGTGTTTCTCTGTACATAAAATTTCACACGATTTGTTAATATTAATGTATGATAATAAAAACTTGATAATATTTTTCTGAATTTTTGCACTATTGTCATATGAGAAGTAATCTTGTCCTTATTAGAGATATTGAAACTAATCCAGAGCCACAAGCTAGTTTATCCAAACAGACACAACACTGACTCTACATATTTGCAGATCTGATTTGTATACTGTTTGTGTACTGGTTTGGTGCTATCTGGTTTCCTTGCTGAGAATAATGCTGACCTGGATGGAGAGTGCTATAAACTTGAAATGCCATAGAAATCACGTTTGCCAATTTATGTCCATGCAACTTTAGAATGACAACTAGCGAAGGCAGTGTCATTTATGACTTGTGCTTTGTATTTTGACAGTCTAATGGAAATGCTGCTGCCTTCAATCAGATTGCTGTTGGTGGAAGTAAGAAAACCACGCCCATTAGAGTCCAACTCAACAACCATGGTAGTCTTAGTTCTAATATATTAAGTCCTACTGGTCAAACTACAGCACAAACAGGTAAAATTGTTTATTTCATATGTTTTTCAATGAAAGCTTAGCTCTGTTTTATTTCACAGTATCTCCAATACAGCATTCTGTATCTGCCTCACTAGAAGACCTTTGGATATGAGCTTCTATGAAATTAATTATATGCCATATGTTCATTGTATAGGTCAGCTCGATATGAACATATTTGTTTGCAGTTTGCAATATCCACACATGGTTCCGCATCTGCCCTGCTATGACATTTTTGACTCCTGTGTGCGAAGCACAAAAAGGGAGTCTTTGCAGTTAGTGTGTCTGTATGTGTATGTGTGTGTGTGTGTGTGTGTGTGTGTGTGTGTGTGTGTGTGTGTGTGTGTGTGTGTGTGTGTCCGCCTGTTCCACTGATATCTCAAGAACCATACATCAGTTTTTGATGAAACTTGGTGCATAGATGCTCTGGGCCAATGCGCAGATTTGATTAGGTTTTGGTAAAAATCCATGCATATTAATTACCTAATTTGCATGATAATTAGCTGATTTTTAGCTGTTCCATGACTGTTCCACTGATATCTAAAGAACCACTCATTGGATTTTGATGAAACTTGGCACACAGATGCTCCAAACTAATGCGCAGATTTGATTAGTTTTGGGCAAAAATCTGTCCAATATTAATTACCTAATTTGCATAATGATTAATCAATATTCGGCTTTTCCACTGATATCTCAAGTACGGTAGTAATCATCACATTTCAATAAAACTTGGTACATAGATGTCATAGGACACTGCACAAACCTCATAGTTTTTAGGGTAATATCAGTAGATATTAATTATCTAATTAGCATAATTAATTAATTTTCAGCTTTTGATATTTCAAGTAGTAATTGTCACATTTCAATGAAACTTGGTGCATAGATGTCATAGGACACTGCACAGACCTGATAGTTTTTAGGGTAATATGAGTACATATTAATTACCTAATTTGCATAATTAATTAATTTTCAGCTTTTGATATTTAAAGTAGTAATCATCACATTTCAATGAAATTTGGTACATAGATGTCATAGGACACTGCACAGACCTGATAGTTTTTAGGGTAATATCAGTATATATTAATTAGCTAATTTGCAGCTTTTGATAGAACCTCATACACAGAACCTCATACACCTGCTCAGAAAGTCTGTGCCATTGTCTAGATAGCCATTTTTCGACCTGTCCATTGTGCTATTGCTGATTGTCATGAAAACACACAATGATTGTGGGTTTTTTTTCTTTACCACAATATGGTTGTAAAAAAAATGTTTGAAAAACATTCAGTTTTCAAGTCTACATGTTTATAAATTGTGATGTGTTGATTAGAAACACACAAAACATCAAAGAAACCAGAGCGCTTTCAAATTAAACTTCTTGTTTATTCTGCCATTTTCAGTTACACCAATGGCACTACTTTTTTACATATCAATACACTCGGGTGATCAGATGACATATAACACCGTTGCAAAAGTATGTATTCTGCATACAATAAAGTAACCCCAAAAACGTCACATAAACCAAAATGTAAATTACCAGAATTGAGATAGCTCTACTAACTCTTGTTTTATATTTGGATTTGAAGGTTTTTATCAACCAGATAATGCATACATATGGAAAATGTAAACAAATGCATTTCTCTTATAAGGTGGTTAGTTTTCTTGCTAATCACCTTGTCTGCATCATCCAGATTCTCAATGGGCAATGTTGTAATAGTTTCGTTATGTTTTTAGGTATAACATTAACTACACCAACACAGCTTCAGCAACAGCAGTTATTGGCACAGCAAGCTGTGCTGCAACAACAATTACAGCTGGCTCATTCACAGCAACTGCAGCAACAAGTACAGCAACAGCAATTACAACTACAGCCACAGCAGTTGCAGCCCGGTGTAATACCAGCATCAACTGGTAGTAGAATACCTGGTAGACAGACTATTCAATTCAGTAGGTAAGTTGTTGTCATTAACTTAGTTTTGTGTGAAACAGATAGCTTGCCTGTCTGTGTATGTTCGTATTTAAATTTTTGTATGTATGTCTTTTCCACTGATATCTAAAAACAACTAATCAGATTTCCATGAAACTTGGTACATGGGTGCTCTCAGATTATCCGCAGACCCAATAACTTACAATCTACCCATGGATATAACCCAAATTAGAGCAGTAAGATAGAAAGTAGTATTTATAGACACTGTATTCACATTTTAAACAGGGGACTTATGGATTGAGCTCTATGTGTACATCTGTGCGTCCGTGCGTGTGTGCATCCGGACCTATATCTTAGACATGCCTGGATCGATTCAATTCAAACTTCACACATCAAACATCAATTTGTTTCACGATCTGATTCAAGATGGTCGAATGACAGCCATTTTTGTACTGGAAAATTACGCATTTCTCTGCTGTTTTTTTTTAAATGTTTTTGTGCCAGGTAACAGTTACGGACATTGAGTGTCGCTGTTGTCTCTCCTGACTTTTTTTCTTTTTTGTAAGTGAAAATTGCAAGTGCTAGTGCATTTTGCCACAGAAGTCATTTCCTGTTAGGGACTACATGACAGGGCTGTGTGCCCATCTCCCTATCAAATGGATATTTTTTTTTTAACCAAGGTTCCTTCAAAGTCACATTCGTTAGTGAATGAATCTCGGCCAGTGGAATTGGCTTTCCCATTGAGTCTGTGGCACAGGGGTCGATCCTTTTGATGTACAGCCTAAGGTAGGATTTGAACTTGGGTCTACCTATCATGAGTCTGATGCGACAACCACTATGCTACCAGTTTACAAATGGATTTTGTTCAAACTTGGTACATACATTGGACATTATGGGTCCCTGATGCACGTCATTTTGTTTTTCAGATCAAATTCAAAATGGCTGACTGGTGGCCATTTTGTTTTAATGAAAGCAATTCTAGAGTCATATCTCTGACATGCTTTGACTGATGTTCAAGTTTTATATATTCATTATACATCATGTCATAGATATACAGATGTGTTGGTTTGACGATCGGATTCAAAATGGACAACCGGTGGCCATTATGTTCTAATTATTACTGTTCCAGAGCAATATCTCTCAATATAGACAAGTACCGTAAAATCTGTATTAGAAGCCGCATCCCTAATAGAAGTCGCATCCATTCTATTTGAATAATTGAGAACCAAAAATTCATCATTTCTCATATGTGTAGATGCTCTAATAGAAGCCGCATCCCCTCTGTTGCATTGTACCATTTTAATAGAAGCCGCGGCTTCTAATACAGATTTTACAGTACTCGTACTATATTACTACATGTATAAACAAAACAAATAACTTAGGTTCATAACTAACTGGGACTGTGCCAGATGATACACAATAAAGCAAAACTGATATAATAGACTCTAGTTAGTGTCGTCTGTAATATAAAAATCGACTTTGACTTCTTGGTATGTTGCCATGATTATATGATTAAAATATGCACTTTGATTTGTTTTGTTGACATTTGACCGAATGGCAGTCATTTTTGTCCCAGTAAATACTATTTCAACATGTGTCATGTGTGCTGCTGTCATGTCACATTATCTTCTATCACATCATGCTTGCTGATATATCTTGTGTGATATGGTCTTTTCCTAATATGCATGTGTCATTTCAAGTCGTGTATAAGATATATTAATGTAATGTATTATATTTTCTAGATCCAGTAGTGCCCCTGCTGCTACATTATCATCAGCTTCTATTCCTGCAAATACATTTACTGCTGTTACAGTAGCAGGTAGGTAGTCTGCATTGTCCTGAGTACAGTATTTCAAATAAAGGTGAAGGTATACAGGTATATAGCAATTAAATACAGCAATGTGACATTAAGGTCATGTAACTTCCTGGATTTAACATATCACCAACTGATGTTGTTTTCTCGCATTTGGCTTTGAGCTGGTGATGTTTACTCTATTTTGTTGAATTGATTTAGCTTGGAATCAAGCCATTCCGAGTTCATCCAAAAATGGCTCAATGAATCTATGTGTAACTATGCCCAGAGTGATGTTATCTGTGTGATTACCCAAACAACAGTGATTATCCAGGTTGCATCATTATTCGGGCATTAACCTTGAAATAGAAAAAGCATCAGATCTAAGAGCATATTGAAAACTCTATTCCTTACTCTCTTATTGAAATTGCAAATATAAAAGTATTTGAAGCTTCTAGTTGTGTGAAATTATCAATGCTGTAATGCTGAGTTTGAAGTTTGTGGCTTGTTCACACTAAATCAAGTATCATCAGTTATATCTTTCATGAGTCAGTTGATGTTTTTGTGTGTTTGTATTGTTTTGTTTGTTTTTTTGAACGAGGATAAAAATACCCAAGATGATCTGTGAGCTGCCTAATATCGTTTTTGTCTTGGGGAGGTTCTGAATTTTGTAAAAAAATATACTATATACTTTTTGCAAAGAACCTGTGTGGGGTAATATGTTTACTGCATTTTTAATGGCCACCACAGTGGACAAGTTATTTCCTGTTTGAAGTTTAAGTCCGAATTATGACTCAACTTGGATAAGTGATGTGTTATCTGGGTAATCATTCATGATTGGGTATAGGAATACAATTTTACATTTGAACTAATTTTCAAGTGAAGTTATACTTGTTTTGATGCATGAGAACCTTGATGGTGCATGGTTAGTCTTCCTCTCTGTTTTTGTCAGTTATTGTGAAATTTATTTACAGTGCTTGTGACATGTGACCCCACAACCTAATTTTCAATTATGAATGTGATCCCCTCAATTTGCCTTCATGGAAAATTTTTTTGTTTTTTTACTTTCTATCACACCATTAGTATTTTATATTTTGTGCAGGGATGTGTCTCAAAATTAGATTTGAACATTTTGTCCAAAATACTACATGGGACATTTCTAAATATATTGGCATATTTTGAGTGTGAAACAGTAAATTTAACAGGAACTACTCTTTGTCCTTTGGCCTTTGTCTGAAATGATTGAACAAAATTAGCCAATTTTGAAAAAATACCGGCAAATTGCTGATGTTCAATCAGCTTCTGAATCATTGTTGTGCAAGTTACCCTTTTCCAATAAACTCTCCTGATGCCTTGTTTACATTTTTATTTTAATATGAATTATATCATGTTTGCATGTTTAAATTACTGGTTGTATAATTTGCTTGTTTGTAATTTATTTTCTAGTTATTGCTTTCCCCCTTAGTGATGTATGTTGCCCTTTTTTGCCAACCTAACAGGCCAGCTACCCTTGTACCCAATTACAACTTTGAAGTCACCTCCCCCACCTCTGGTGAAGTCTGTTACTACTACCAATGCCACTTCACTCACTCGGAGAACATCCTCCTTGACAGATGGGCAGTCTCCAATCAGTATGCAAGTTAGTATTGGAGGACCGACTACAGTTGTAACAAGTGTGGCACAACAAGGTGAGAGCTCTCGCTTATTGACCTGAGTGATGATTAACAAGGTGAGAAATTATCCATATTGACCTGAGTGCTGATAAACAAGGTGAGAAACCATCCCATATTGACCTGAGTCATGATTAACAAGGTGCGAAACAATCCCATATTGACTTGAATAATGATGAACACTGTG